TGTAATATGTCTTTAACTGTTTCAGGTAGATACCTAGAGGGAAATAGCTGGATCAAATGGAATTTTTCATTTCACTTTTTTGAGGAATCTCCATACTGATTTCCAAAATGGTAGTACTAGTTTACATTCCTACCTACAATGTGGGAAGGTTCACATTTCCCTGCAGCTTCACCAGTATTTGTTATTATTTGATTTCTTGATGATGGTCATTCTTTCTGGCATGAGATAGAATCTCAGTGTTGTTGTAATTTGCATTTCTCTAATAGCCAATGATGCTGAGCATTTCTTCATGTCCTTATTGGCCATTTGTACTTCTGTGAAATGTCTGTTCATTTCATTTGTTTATTTTTTGATTGGATCTTTTATTTTGGGTGGGCCTTTTTTTTTAGTTCTTTATATATCCTAGATATTAGACTTGGGAGTAGCTAATACTCATTTTCCTGTAGTTACTGTTCTTGACATTCTTTCTTTTCATTTACTAAGAATCTTAAAAATGACTTATAACTGTAACTTATTCTGTAGGTTCTGTTTTCACTGCTATCCTGGACATTTTCCAATTTATCTTTCTCTATACAGTTGCATGCTATGGACAAAGTAAGAGCGCATGTGTTTGCTAATGATTCTGATGTGCTTGCTTCCTTAGCATGCCTCCGTAGTGTAGTTCAGATGCTTGAAGATAAAGGGTCCACTCCTTCCCTAGCACAGAAACCGGAAGCACACAGCCACCTTAGCAGTCACAGTCTGTGATTATGAATCAAAGGACCAGCAGAGGAGAATCTGTAATTATATCAACATGCCAATAAATGCTAGCCTACAGACAAAATGGGTATTAGCTACTCCCAAGTCTTATGTAACATAATACTCAAACACAAACAGTTAAATTGTCCCCTGAACCCAACCGAGTACTGGAGATTGCACCCAGTGCTCTGCATGGAGCTACATCCCAAGCCCTTTTTTATATGTTCAGTCAGGGTCTTGCCAAATAGCAAGGTTGCCCAAACTGGACACCTACCAACCCATACTAAGTGCTAAAGCCTTGTTTTGAGGATTAAAAAATAGAGTTGGGAGTACTGTGAAATAAGATTTATAGAATGATATTGGTATGGACTGAGCCTAATGCCCAATTAGTTGGACTCCAAGCCCAACAGACCAAACCAGAGTCACTCATTCATGATAAAGTTCTATGTTTCAAACCCAAATTAAGTTGCATATGTGATTTTCCAAGAAATCAAAGAGGGGGAAAACCAAATCTCCAAACAACCCACATTGGCACATGGATGTCTCCTCTGCTTTAACTGCTTGAAGAAAAGTAACTGGTGACCAAGCCACTTTTTGCTTTCTGTTGCAGACTTCCGCAGCCACTTTCTCTGTAGGAAACCACCATTCTCCTTGACTCACAGGACCCCTGGGTCTATATTATGGAATGAAGTGCTATTCAAATCTATAATCAAAACCAAAGCCATTAATTCATTTAGGAAACTTTGAGGGAACTTTACCCACTGACAAGTAGAGTTTGTCTAAATTAATAGGTACTACAAGCAACATCTGGTGCTGGTAAGTCCTCCCAGCCTCAAGTAACACTTTTTTCCTGCCATGCTGGGCAATGAATCAGAGCCTTGTGCATGCTGAGAAGTGGTCTATCGCTTAGCTACACTGTCAGCACTGCTGGACGACTTTTCAAAGTAAAACCAAATAGTGTTTATGAAAATTAGACTGACCGGTGTGGGTAGGCTACATCTTTCTCTCTCTGTGATTCCCAGAATGCCCCCACAAAGAAGGGAATGTTTATGAAGCTCTGCATCTTCAGCCATTTATGAACTGTTTGATGAAAGGGTCTATAATTTTCTTGTCCTTCAAACTCAATGTCTTATAATGTGATGTCTCCTTATGAGTTGTTTATCCGTAAAACAAACCTCAATAGCAGAGCAACACCCAGAAGTGCATGTAGCAGTTATGGTGGAGAGTGAACTTGATTGGCTTTGGGATCCATGCTGGAAACTGGTAGAGCACACGTCTGGGTGTGTCGTGGAAGCACAGCCTTGGGATCCTTCACCCCTTCCTCTGTGGCACATTCTCCTGCTTTTCTCGCTGGCCACCATGAACTAACAAGCGTTTTGCTCCACTATGCCTGCCTCCATGATGTTGCTCTTTGGAACTGACCATGGACTGAATCTTCTTAAACGTAATCCACATTAAACCTTCTCTCCTTTATGTTGGGAGTATCAAGTATTGTGTCCCAGCCACAGGCAAAGCTAAGAGAGTGTGTCAAGGTACCTGTGAGCAATTAGGTTCTTCCATCCACTGTCCTCAATGTAAACTAAGTGTGTTTTACTTGGCAGGTTTGATTAGCGACTTTGAGATTTCTGGAGAAATAAATTCTCATCCTGAGCTTTTTCCAAATGGAATTCACCCAACACCATGTGCTTCTGACATCCTGACTCTACCTTCTCTATCAACTGAATTCAATAACTGATGTTCAGAGTTGGGCATCTGCTACCCCAACCAATAATTCCTTTCCTCGTAAGGATTATTTGAAACTTCATTTAAAAATGCATAGGATAATTTCAGTTTTCTAGTATCCTTGACTAACTTCAGTGTTTTATTTAAATGTACACTTTATTCAAGTTGTTCATTCCTTTGGCATGACTTGTTTATAATGTAACCTCTTATCATTGTAGTAGTGTCACCTCTGATTTCTGATATTGGGAATTTTTGTCTATTATAGTTTTCCCCTGGTGTGTCTAGATGCATTTTATCAACATTTCTCAAGGAAAACTTTGTATTCACTTATTTTTCTCTATTATGTGTTCAATCATACTGATTTTTGTTCTGACCATTATTTTCTTTCTTCTTATTTTCAATTTCACATGGTTATTCTAGTGTCTTATTATGGACAATGGTGTCATTTATGCAGTTCTTTCCTAATATAGGCATTGGTATAAAATTACATTCAACTACTATTTTACTGACATTCTACAATGTTGATATGCATTTAAATTTTTACTCAGTTCAAGATTAATTCTGATTTTCCTTTAGTTATCTTCTTTGACTGAGGATATATAGAAGTGGATTGATTTTCATCTACTTGGGAGTCTACAGTATCTTCTTGATGATTTTTAACTTGATTCCATTGTGATCAGAGACCTTATTATGCACAATTGAATTCTTTTTGATGGTCTCAAAAAACTAAGGTATATTAAAGCATATGATGTAAATTTATCACAGGAGAGAAAAATAATTCATGATTAAGAAAATAAAATATATGGATGGATCCAGCAATCAGGTGTTGCAGGGCCTGGGAAGCCAGCATACCTTCTCTTGCAACAGAGGGGAAGGAATGATGTGTGCATAAGGGGGTGCAGGTGTGTGGGGTGGCTGTTCCCCACAGTATTTGTCTTCTCTTTTCACTGAAGGTTGAGAGTTGAGGTCATCAGCCAGAAGGATTGGTTTGGGGTCAGGTGTCTGATGGAATGATATTCATATTGCAGAACAGGAAATTGAAGCTGTTAAGGAATTACACAGCACTGGCTAGCAGAATTGGTGGTTCATGAGGAATTCTGACTGTAAATCTCAGAGAAGCCCAGGTAGCTCCTTGGAATACTTTCCCATCCAGATGTCTAACTGCCTGTGCAGGCCAGATGTGGTGGCTACAAGCAAACTATTATAGTATGGGGCTACCAATCTGAAATATTTTTCAGCTGTTTCTAAACTGAAGAACATTGGTAATTGTATATGCCCTCTTCTCTAGTATAGATTTAATTAACTTTCTTTATACTAGAGGAGTGTTTATCTTGAGTTCAGGTCAACATTTCTTTATTGTGTATGTACCTGTTATGGCTTATATCTAGATGTTCCCCCAAAGCCTCATGTGGTCACAGATAGAGATTTTCAGAGGTGGCTTGGTCATGGATGTGTGAACGTGGGTGGATTAAGTGTATGTGAATATGGATTAGGGGTGTGGTAACTGGATTAGTGTCCTGATTGGTTTGGCATTGTTCTGGGTGTGGGTAATGGAAAGCCTCGGCCTGGGGTGGGTGGGACCAATCAATACACTTTATAGCCTAGATGGAATGTAAGGAGAAATGAAGGCAGGCAGGCTCGTTGCTCACTACTTGTTGCTTCCTGCTTGTCCTGCCATGGACTGTTTCTTGTCTGCCACGCTGTCCTGGTTTGGAGCAATATAGGTGGAATATATTCTTTGCCTCAAACCCCATTCTAGGTCTTTGAACTTAGAATGTTTTCTTTCAAGCACTTAAAGAAACATGGTGTTATTAAGGCATTAAGGAAACATATCTTTGCAATTTAGCTCTGCATTTCCAAATTAGCACTTGGATTACTGTAGTCTTGACCTAGACATTTTGGTCTTCTGTTGGTGTCTGTTTACAAGTATAAAGTAACTGGGAGAAAATGAACAGCTCTGTTTAAGTGTGAACACTATAACTAAACCTCATTTTAAAAATAAGAGCTCCATCCTTGTTTTCTGGCTGATCACTTTTCATGTCTCTTAGCCTGGAAATGGCTGGTAGAGAGTGAGAAACACCATGGCAGTAGAAGCTTTGTCCTGCATTTTGCGATCCTGGGGAAGGAGGGGACAGAGGGCACACTACTTGATGCCCCCTGGAGCCCAGCAAGGTGACAGGCAGTGGACATGTGCTGCGCTTGACCACCAGGGGGGTGTTAGCCTGACAGCAGGTATGATGCTCTCACATAATGTGTAGTCATGTGGCAGGCAGTTTTCAGCACCTTATATCAAGACTTATCATTCCAGGCTATGAAAGAAACTGAGACAGCTAGAGGCAGTCATCTTGCCTAAGGTCATGCATTCATTAGGCAGAGTGAGGAATTCCCTATGATTTCTATTTCTTTTTGTCTTTTTGAGACAGGGTCTCACTATGCAGTTCAGGCTGGCCTTGAGTTCACTTTGTAGCCCAGGCTGGCCTCAAACTCACAGCGATCTTCCTGCCTCAGCCTCTCAAGTGCTGGAATTACAGGCGTGCAACTCCATGCCAGGCCTTATGATTTTTATTTTTATTTCAATGCTGGATATTGAATTCAGGGTCTCACATATGCTAAGTATGTATTCTGCTGCTGATCGATACCCTGACCTTTCCTCATTTTTCACAATTTTTCCAAAAACAGAAAAGGTAGAAAAAGCCTCAAACGGCAAATGGTCCATATATGCACTCTTCATACCCCAAATGTTGCCTTTGGCTGTCTTCCACAATGACTTAGGCTTTTAAAGGAACCAGGTAGCTGCCTTTGTCTTCATGGTGTTGTCTGTGTTTCCCAAGGGGCTGGCAACCTGGAGCCCGGGGGTCACATCCAGCTCTGCTCCTGGGTGGTCACGTGTCTGGTTTCCTGTCACAGCACAGCAGCTCTGAGTCGCTGCTACAGACCACGTGGCACAGAGGGCCGAAGGTAATACCGTCTGTGTCTTTCTGAGTTTGCTGAGCCCTGAGCTACATCATCCCTGCTCTTGACCTCACTTTAATGCTGATCGTACCTCCTAGATGGAGCTGGGTCAGCAGGAGAACAATCTGCAGAAAAGGGCATTCATGAAGAAATATTTAATCTATTGATTTGAATTCGTTATTTCTAGAAATTTTCCCTTTTCTCTTCCTGTGTCACAGAGGATATCAAAAGGATTACACAGAATTAGTATTCACTCAGTGAGTAGCTTACTCCATTAGATTAGTAGTAGATTAGTACTTAGCCAGTGATGGGGATTTTTTTCTTGGATAGGGATATTCTGGAGAGTGTAAATGTGCTTTGGGTCACACCAGGCCGTGGTACAAAATGGGACCATGGGTGGAGGTGTGAGTTGAGCTCACCATTGTTCAAGTTTTTTCTCTGAGATAAACTGTCCATGAGGCCCCCCAGAGTCTGGGGGTAACAAGGCCAAGTACACAGGGGTCTCAGCTCCTTCTTCTGGGCTTTTGGGGGCCGAGGGTCCCACCATGTCCGTTCTCACCCATCCTGGGCAACAGGCATTGAGCAGGATCTTGTCCCTGCTCCTCTCCTTGCTCAGTTTCCGGGCGTGGATTCTGGACAGAACTGTGACACCGATCTTAGACACTTCGTATGTAGAGTTGGGCCAGCCTTCCTTCTCCTGCACCCCAGTGCTTACATCTTCCACGAACTTGTTCATGAGCCCCGCCAGCTCCTCCTCCGTGATGGTCTCACTTCGAAACTTCTGCTGCAGCTCTGGGCTGCACTTCTTAAGGGCTCCGAGACTCAGTGAGCTTGACACGTTCACCACTCTGCCTAAAATACACCATACGTCCTTAAGTGGAGAGGCGTACACAAGACCGGTGAATAACAACCCTGCCGGGATTTTTAGAGCAGAACATTTCCATTTCAAAGACATTAGTGGGAAGGCTCTTAAGAGGAATATAGGCGGACAGTGTGGTGGCTGCTTGAGGAGTTCCATTCCAGCCTTCCAGTTTTGGGCAGGTGACATTAAAAACAGCTGCCCTTCGAGGTGCTAGTGAGCACAGTCTGAGAAGTGGTAGAACCTGCTAAGAGGACAGGACGGGAAACAGGACAGGAGCTGAGAGTAAGCTGTAATGTAAGTTTTGAAACTTAAACCACAATGTTAATTCATTTGAAAACTGACTGGCTGCCTTTACTGGCGTGTTCAATGACCGGTGGTTCATCTGCTATCTATGTGTGTGGGAAGCACTAGGAAGTTTATAGTGGAAGAAACACAGTAAAATGTGAAAAGGACAGCATAGGTTGATGGGAGGTAAAATGAGCCTGGAGCTAGGCGGGGTCAGACTACAGAGCTCACTATGCTCCATGCTAAGGGCTTGCAGTGTCTCCCGAAGGACTGTGCATTGGGGTACCCAGGCAACAGCATATACAGAAAAAGGAACACGTCAAGGAGGAAGGTCTCTTAGCATGTTTGCAATGTGCAGTTTGACAGCTGCTGCCTGTTGCAGGGCTGGGGTGAGCCAGACCCTGAAGTCACTCAGTGGGTACAATCTCAGGACCCGGTAAGTGATTATGAATGTGCAGAGCAAAGCCACCGCCAGCTTGCTGGGGCGTGGCTGAGATGATTTAGGGAGAAGGATGAGCATTGTCCAGATATGTTTGTTTCAGACTGAGGGGTAACGGGAGATGATGGAAAGGCGTGGACAGAATATGTGTGGGGACCCTGGGAGTGTTCTAGCTGCTGAGTGCTTGAGTCACTTTAGGACAAGAGGTTCTACTGAACTGGTGTCAACAGAGGCTCTAGCATCCTGAATCAGATCATGGGGTGGGGATGAGGGACAGGATGGAATCCCAAGAGCCTCTAACACATGAGTGGGGGCAGAATTAAGAGCTTATGTGAGGAGACTTCAACCAAGACTTGAAGGACCAGGAAGAGGTAGGTATGCAAAGAGCAGGGGAACAGAGACCACCAGTGGCCAGAGAAGTGAGGACAAAACAGCAGAACTGCACCTGCAGGGTGGAGACACAGTGAGGAGGCTGGTGCAGCGGCAGCTGCAGAGGGAGAGGAAGCAGGGCCTGGAGATGAGGTCCCAGCAGGTGGGGACAGGTCAGCACCAGACTCACCTTGGGGTCTTATTAGAGGGAGCAGCTCCGTGCTGACATCCCTGGTACCAAAAAAGTTTGTTTTCATGGTTTTTTCTGCTTGAATATGAAAGGGTGTCGGATCTGCCTCTTTTAGGAGAGAAAGACAACAGATTTAATGAGTGTAGCCTTTGGGCGGATTTCATTTAAAAAAAAAACCAAAAACAGTAGGTGTGACTTCTGCTCACTTCTAAGGGAAGTTTGAGTTTAGTGTTGTGCAGCGTCAGTCTCCTAGTTTATAATGCACTATTGTTTCTGTAATATGGCAACCTGAGAGGCTGGGTGAAGCTTGCCTAGCAGTGTCTTGGCGTCTTCTGTTTATCTCAAAATGAGTTAAAAATTGACCCAACTGACCTAACCCTTAGTCACACATAAACTATGTTCAGGTGCCTGGCAAACACAAGGCCTGGAAACACTCCAAGCCCTTCCAGGCTCAGCTCCTGCCGCAGCCCCAGCCTCTGATTCCTCCTAGGGATGGTGTTCCGCACCCCGCAAGCCGGAGGGGCCCCACCGCAGCGCTGCCTCCGCAGGCACAGCGCCAACTCCTTACTCTTGAAGGCGATGCCCGCGTTGTTGACCAGCACGTCGAGGCCCCCGTACTCCCTGCGCAGGAAGTCGCGCAGCGCTCGGATGCTCTGCAGGTCGTCCAGGTCCAGCTGGTGGAAGCGCGGGCTCAGCCCCTCGGCCTGCAGCTGCTGCACC